CTGAACAAGGTTGCTATGTTTAGTGCTTATCTGGAAGCTACCAGGAAGACTCCACTTCCAAACTGAATCAAGTTGTTGGCAGAATTCATATGTGTCTGGTTGTGGAACTGTGGTCTCCTGTGTGTCATCAGGGACCATTCTATTCCTTCAGTCTACCCACATTCTTTTTCATGCAGAACTTTGCACCCTCTATTCCTTCAGTCTACCCACATTCTTTTTCATGCAGAACTTTGCACCCTCAACACAGCAATGGCACATGGAGTTTTTTTCAAACTTAGAATTTCTCTGATTTCCTCTTCTGCCCGAACAGGAGAAAGCTCTCCTCTTTTATGCGTGCCTGTGACTAGATGGAGCCTACCTGGATAATCCAGAATGTTCTCCATATCTTCAAGCCAATGGTGTCAGATATCACAATATAATCAGTGGTGATCAAGTTTCCAGGAATCGGGAGGCCTTTTTAGGGATTCTGCCCACCACAGATAGCTTTGGTATTTCAACAGCTATGGTAGCGTAGTGGTTACAAATCGGGCTGCAAACCTCAAGGTCAGCAGTTCCAAACTACCAGTTGTTCCGCGGGAGAAAGATGAGGCTTTCTGCTCCCGTAAAGATTTAAAGCCTCAGAAACCCTGTGCAGGGTGACCATGAGTCGGAACCGACTCCACGGCACATAACAACAACAACATGCTTCCATATCTCTAATTCTGTTATGCAAGGAAAAATATTATATAGAGATTTTTCTCTTCCTCTCATATAGGGATGAGTGAGGCAGGAGAGAGAAGAGAAAAAAAAAGTTATGGAAAAGAATAAAAATGAAGTAGCAATATAAAATGTATTTTGAAAATTTTCATTGAAAAAATGAAATAAAAAGATAATATAATTTTTTCCACTAACTCTTTGAAGCCCCCTACAAACTTGCTGTAGAATAAGCATTGGACTGGTAACTGCAAGGTGAGTAATACAAACTCACCAGTCACTCTCAGAAAACCTATATAAATTGGAACAAACTCTACAACACACAGCAACAACAAATTATATCACTTTATGCAAAATTCGGTCTTTTCTTTACTCCATAAACAGTTTCTGTAAAATTTTAAATATATATTAAATAAGAACAGTATATATTAAGATTGAGGATAAAGAGCTCTGGTAGTGTAGTGGTTACGAATCGGGCTGTGAACCACAAGGTCAGCAGTTCGAAACTACCAGCTGCTCCGCGGAAGAAAGATGAGGCTTTCTGCTCCCGTAAAGATTTACAGCCTCAGAAACCCTGTTCAGGGACACTATGTGTTGGAACCGACTCAACAGCACCTAACAGCAACAACAACAACAGGATAAGGACAAATAGGAAAATAAAATATAACCAAGTCAGAGAAAAAGGCAGACTGTGCCACACAGATTTAAGAAAAGTGGTAGCATTTCACTGTGCCCTCTCAACTTTCAGTTCTCTTAAAATGGAGTCACCCTGACTTCCCACAAAGCATATGCAGGAAATGTCTCAAAAGTAGGTAGACCTCTCCTTGAAAAATGAAGTGTCTAATGGAACCAGAGATGCTCCTTAGAAGCCAGGATGGCAAGACTTCATCTCTTATACTTTGGACATGTTATCAGATGGACCATTCCCTGCTTGGTAAAATGGAGGACCAGGAAAAAGAGGAAGACCTTCAATGAGATGGTTTGGTACAATGGCAGCATCAGTGCACTTAAGTGTCTGTAACAACAATTGTGAGGATGGCTCAGGACCAGGCATTGTTTCATTCTGTTGTTCATCGGGTAGCTAGGAGTCAGAGCCACCTATCATGGCACCTAACAACAACTCAGGCAGTTGAAGAGAATAGTAGAATCAGATGTTATTCATATATAATCCAATTGTACAGACATATGCCATCAATGCATATTCATTTGCAGATAGATATGCATTTATAAAGGAGCTCTGGTAACACAGTGGTTACGAATCGGGCTGCGAAACGTAAGGTCAGTAGTTCGAAACTACCAGCTGCTCCGTGGGAGAAAGATGAGGCTTTCTGCTCCCATAAAGATTTATAGCCTCGGAAACCCTGTTCAGGGTCGCTATGAGTCAGAACCGACTCGACGACACTTAACAACAACAACATGCATTTATAACCATGTTGGATTCAAAGCATCATTTAGTAAATACTTGAGAATCTTTACAAAAAAGAAAATTAAGTAAGTGTATAAAACCACCTCAGATTGTTGAAATGTTTACAACCCCATTAAATTAATAAAGTGTGGATTCTGGAAAATGGCTTTAGTGCTCTTCACTGAAAAGTCCCTGAGCTCCTTTATGCTGACTCAAGGTCTACTCGTCAGCTTGTCAGTGGTTCTCCAGTGAGTTCAATGGAAGTCTCAATAGGACACTGACTAAAGGTGAAAGAAATAGGGCTAGCCTTGGAGTCTGCACAGGGTTTGGGATTTTTTGTCATACCATGCAATTCTTAAAACTCTGAGACAATTATTTATTCTTATTCACTTCCACAGAGCATGGTGTTTCCATTTCAGTAGAGTTATTCAGACATACTTAAGAAGTTTGTTGTTGTTGTTATGTGCTATGGAGTCGGTTCTGACTCATTGCGACCCTGCACAGGGCTTCCGAGGCTGTAAACCTTTACAGGAGCAGAAAGTTTCATCTTTCTCCCGCGGAGCAGGCTGGTAGTTTCAAACTACTGACCTTGAGGTTCACAGCCTGATTCATAACCACTATGATACCAGAGCTCCTCTTAATAAGTAGCATTTCCTTATCTTCAGAAAATTTGATTTTTTGTCTCTTGTCTAGAAAAATCTCTCTTAAAGAGGAGCGAGAGGAGGAGAGAGAGCTGGATAGGCAGGTAGTGGGGAAGGGAAGGGAAGGACATAACATATTTCAATAAACATTCTATGTTGTAATTCACATCTTAGATAGGTTCTTTGCTTTTTTTTTGAATAATTTTTATTTTATATTTTGTTGAGACTATAAATAGCAAGACATAGACCAATTCAGTGACTTCTCCATGTACAATTTAGTAGTGCTGATTGCATTCTTCAAGTCGTTCAGTTGTTCTCACCAACTGTTTCCTGAATTGTCCCTCCCTGATTAGTGTTAGGTAGGTTCTTAATAAATCGAAAATGTCTGAGCCAAAAGTGAAAGCATAAAGGCTGCGAGAGATGTGGGAGATAAAGAAAGATGATCTTTTTCCTGAAGCTGCCTCATTTTCTCAAGCCAGAAAGATAAACCATTTACATGTATTTAAATGAGTCACTGCAATCTCCTTGCTGATTTTCTTCTGCTATACCTCTCTTGAGTCTCTGTGTGTTCCATTAGCATAAAAATAGTTGAGAGGGAAAATATTATATAAAAATACTAGCTAAGCTTTTATGCAGATAAGTTGCTCTGCATATTGAAAGGCTATCAATATATTAGTTGAATATGCCTCAAAATATAAAGGCATTTCTTTTGTTTTTACTTCAGTTGTAGTAAATCCTATATTCATTGGAGATGGCTGTATAAGAGTAATTACTATCCATTAAATATTAATCGCTTACTTATTAGCACCACCACAAATACAATGAAAAATCAGTAATAGCATAATTACTTTCAAAGAACATGCACATTCTAAACTATTTCAGACTCTGAACAATTTTATCTATTTTAGGGTAAAACATATACATATATGTATGCTTATTTTTCCAGAGATTTTGACAAATTTATATGAAATATTTATGCTTGTCCTTCCAAAGTCCTCTATAACCAACAGCATGCATTTATGAGACATTAGCTTTACATTTGTTTCCTAAACATTATGACCTGTTTATATTGTCTCTCAAATCTGAGTATCATTTTTCTCCCTTTGCATTTGCTAAGGAATTCTGGTGGCACAGTGGTTAAAGCACTCAGTTGCTAAGCAAAAGGTCAGAAGTTTGAACTGACCAGGCGTTCACTCCACAGAACAAAGATGTGGTACTCTGTTTCTATTTCTATAAAGGTTTACTTTCAGTCTTGGAAATACTTAGGTGAATTCAGCCTAGTCAATTCATTCCTGTGCTATCTCAATCTTTGAGAATGAGAGTAATTTATACTTGCCAATTCCTTTTTGTAAACTTTGTTTCCTAAGTACAAAGAGATATTCAGGTAAATTTACTTCTGAAATGTATATTGGATGCAAAACTGACAAACTTGTATTTTGAAGAGAACTTCAAAATACAAACTTGTACTGAGTCAGGATAACATTATACAGCGTTACAGGTACTACACAGGTCTGTGTCATAAACATAGTTGGCAGAAATGATGCCCCCACCTCACAATTTGAGAAAGGTGTCTCTGGGCATTGTTATCCTATATTGTAATCAGGGTCAATTTTTGACCCTAGTAAATTCCTGGTTATCTCTCAAAAATTTTCTTAAAGAGTCTTCCTTAGTCATAACTGGCAGATTTTCATCACCTTCAGTGTTAAGTTTTAACTTATAGCTCTATTGTTGTTAAGTGCCATCAAGTTGGTTCTGAGTCATAGCAACCCTTTTTAGGGTTTCCAAGAAGCATCTGGTAGGTTTGAACCACCAACCTTGTAGTTAGCAGCCCAGGGCTTATCCATCAGTGTTACAACATAATTTTCTGATAAACAGTGATTTTGTCCCTTTGAAAAAAGATCATATCAGCTTTCCTTTGCAATCCCAGAAGCTAGCCTAAATACTTAAATTCATTGCATGAATGAATGAATGAGTGAATGAATGAACTAATTAACTGAATACAAACTGCTTTAGAAAAATCTCTTGACATGATTTTTATTTGAAGGTAGCAAATCATAACTTTTCCAACACCTGGGAAAATGGAATAAATATGAGGACTATAGATGTAATCAAGAATTTTAAAACTAGGAAGAAGTTAAAAATATTTGGCTGTTTACATTTTTATTCTTATCTTATGAAACAAACTGGTTATGTGATTAAGGTTTGCAATGTGGGCTCTGAAACCCTTCCCTTATGTAGGGATTGTTATCAATACTACTTACCCATTGTCAGTGACTCCCTCTGACTGAGTCACCATTAAAACCCCAATAGTCACATTCAGGATATTTTCTAGTGTTCCGGTCTGTTGAGCAGTAATCACCTGAAGAGCCAAATTCTGTAGTTTGTTACTTGATAGGGATGGAATCAGTTCAGTGTTCCTTGTTGGTGGCAAATCACCAATTTCAATGACCATCACTTTTGAGGTAGTTGCCACAGTGGTTGGTGGTGAGACCCTGTATGAACTCATGTCTATCATGAGAGGTTTACGTTGAACAACTCTTCTGTAATGACTGGCACAAACTACAGATGGGCAAGTGAGTCTTCTTTTGGTCCGGCTGTCAGCAATGTCCCTTATGGTGTCTTCATTGCCAGGCATCTCATGAAGAATTCGGATTTGGTCTTGACCAACCTGTAAGAAGTCCATTAGTCTTTGAAGGATCACGGTGTCCCATCCTTTCCCCATATACAGTGTTTCCAGGACCGAAAACTTAACAGTGAAAGCCAAATGCATGGAAATGCCTGAGCGTATTTCAATAGGCTCCTTTCCTTGCAAAACAACATACAAGAGGTTATCCATAATGTTGAAGTGATTGGCACCAACAGACTCGTTCAACAGTGAAGAAGCTGACTGAACTAGAGTAGGTGGAATGAAACTTTTTCTTATGAAAACATGGGGTCTCTGGAGTTCAGGGTAGAATATAGCCAATAGAAGCTTGGAGGTATTTTCATTCCCCAAAAGAAAAAAACGCAAAACTGGAGGAGTCTGACCCAAAAAGCAGACCTTGGTGATTTGTCTGGTGGGTAAGACAGAATAAAACATAGACACAGATCCTGAGGTAGAACAGACAGTATGGGCATTCGCAATACTAAAAGTATCCACAAAACCACCAGTCACAGATACAACTGGATATAACTTCCTGAACAGCCAAGTGACATCAGCATTGTCCAGAATTAGGACCACTTGGTCAGTCTGTTTGCAGATGTAGCCTTGCATTGGTGATCTATATGTGCATTTCTGTTCTTCTCTAAATATACCTATAAAATAAAGAAAAATAGGCAATGGACATATTAGCCACAATTTTCCAAAGATGATTTATAATCCATCACTCTCAACATCACCTGTAACTTCATGAAACTTGTACTGAACATCTATAATACACTACTATTGTTGTCAGTACTGACTCATAGAGAACTTATGCACAACAGAACGAAATACTGCCCTTTCCTGTTCCATTCTCACAATTGTTTATACACTTCAATCTATTGATGCTGCCACTGTGCCAATCTATTTCATTGGAGGGTCTTTCTCTTTTTCAGTGACCCTCCACTTCATGAATCATGATGTCATTCTCCAGGGACTGGTCCCTCCTAATAATATGTCCAAAATATGAGGGACGAAGTCTGGTCATCCTGGCTTCTAAGGAGCATTTTCATTGTACATCTTACAACACAGATTGATTTGTTCTTTTGGTGGTTCATGGTACTTTTAATATTCTTGTCCAACACCATAATTCACATCAATTATTTTATGGTCTTCTTTATTCATTGTCCTACTTCCACGTGCATGTGAGGTTATTGAAAATACCATGGCTTGGTTCAGGCACACCTTAGTTCTCAAACTGACATTTTTGCTCTTGAATGCTTTAAAGAGGTCTTGTGCAATAAAATACTGGAAATACAAAGAACTCTAGGGAATAATCTCTGTGCTTAAAGTGCATAAAGTCTAAGGTTATACATATGTCATTGTTGTTGTTGTTGTTGTTGTTGTTGTTAATTGTCATCTAGTTGGTTCCAACTGATAGCAACCCTGTAAAGGGTTTCTGAGGAGCAACTGGTGGGCTTAAACTTCCAAACTTGTGGTTCACAGTTCAGTGCTGATCCTATAGCACGACACCAGAAGTCCAAGATTACACATATAGAAAGACAAACTGTTGTCATCAAATTGATTCTGATTCATATTGACCCTTTGTTGCTGCTGTGTGCCACTGAGTTAATTCCAACTATAGGTACCCTCTACAGGGTTTCCTAGGCTATAGTCTCTATTTGCTGTTGTTGTTAAGTGCCATCGTGTTGATTCTGACCTTTAGCGACCCTGTATAGAGTTTCCAAGGAGCAGCTGGTGAGCTTGAACCACCGACCTTGCAGTTCATTACTCTATGTTGTTGTTGTTGTTAAGTGCCGTTGAGTCGGTTCCAACCCATAGCAACCCTGCACAGGGTTTCACTACTCTATAGGAGCAGAAAATTTCATCTTTCTCCTGAAGTGAATTCAAACTGCTTGCCTTGCAGTTACTAGTCCAACATGTTACCATATTAGCGTACTCTACTATGCTACCAGGGATCCTTTTAGAAATCCCATGTTGTTGTTAAGTGCTGTCCAATCAGTTACATTCAGTGACCCTGCCTGTATAAGGTTTCCAAAATTAGCCAGTGGGTTTGAACTGCTTGTGGTTAGAAGTCCAGTGGTAACCAGGCATCCTAGTGACCCTATGGGGCATAGTAAAACTGTAGCATAAGGAATCCCAAGGCCAAAATCTTTATGGAAGCAGGCTGCCAACTTTTATAGCCTTTAAATATATTTTGAATCCATATGTTATATTCTGTATGCTCTTTAAAGTTAATAATGTATATGATGGGAGTCCAGGAGCTCCATGCAATAAACACTAGACTTCAAACCACAACATCCATGGTTTGAACCCACCAGCCACTCTGCAGGAGAAAGATGAGGTTTTCTGCTCCCATGAAAATTTAAAGCCTTGGAATCCCTATACTGCATTGCTATAAGTTAGAACCAACTTGACAGCAGTTAACAACATTGTATATAGCAGCTAAGTGTAAAAAGAGTTGAATACGTTAAAAATCAGAAAAAAGAAGTCATCACTTAAAGCTCCATAATAAAAGAAAAGTAGAGAAGAAGGAGTTTATAAGATTTGAGTCAATAGGAGGAGAGGTAAACTGATGGGTTGGACAAGAGAATTTATGGAGGTATATAAAATTGAAGAGGTATCCTTTGACCAGATTGCAAAGGATTTGGAATATCAGACCAGGTAATTTTCTTATACTTTCTGCTATTCTCTATACACAACGAGTAAAGATACAAAATAAAAGGAAAAGAAGAAAGTGATTTTGGGAGTTGTTGGCATTAAGTGAATCCAACTTGAGAATGGTTGGGAGATAAAGAGTACATGTAAAGAATACATCATTCCTTGACGTTTTATTTTCATCTTTCTTCTTTCTATGAATCTAGAGTATCTTGTTTTGAATCCATAGAAGTATTTATCCTCCAACAAGCACATATTTCTTTGATTTAAAAATTATATTCACAACATGGTCCTGTATTATTTATTAGATATTTTGAATTTGACTTAGTGCAAGTTTATCAAAATAACCTAAGGTTTGGAACAAGAAAATTAAATTACTGTTGATATAGAAAATATTACATTTGAGCATGAGCTAACCTTCTCTTGTATCATTCATTCCAAAAGATATGATTAGAAACATATATCAAAGTTGTCCATTGTATCAATGAATTCACTTACTAAAGTGTTACTTTATCAGTAGGGTACATGTTTTCTGTTTGCACCATCATCATCATCAACAACAAAAACAAAATATAATCAAGGATACAATTTGTTTCTATATTACATTTTTCATCATAAACACATTTTATATATATCAATACATATATGTATGCAAATACATACAGAAAGGTACTGATGATGCTCTAAAACATGAAATGACTTTTGAAATGTGCATTTCCAGCTTTTTGTAGTACTCATTCAGTCATACAATTCTGCTTAAAACATTTGCTGGCTCTCTATTGCTTTCAGGAGACTTTCCAAACTTAATTATCACTCAGGAGAATATTCCATTCACTCTATCATCTGGGCTCAACTCATCTGTCCAACATAGTGTTTACCTACTACTCATATAAACTCTAAGTTTCAAGTCAACTGGACTAGTTTCTGCTACCCATACAAGCCCATTGTTTCACAGTTGGTACAAAGAATATCATGATTTCTTTTGCTTATGATATTCTTTGTACCAACCATTCAAGTCCACATTGTACAATCTATGGTCTACATTCTACAACGGCAGCTCAAGTGTCACCCCTTCCTTTATCCTATAATTATGGGGTTTAGCTTGCCTATAGTACCTCACTCTGTGATAGCATTTTTCATTTTCTATCTTTTATTAATGAAATGGGGATCACAATACTTATCATCCCAAACCATAAATGTAAGAATAAAAGAAGTGTTGTTAATAATTATGCAAGGGCAACAAACCTACACCAGGAACTTTTTGTGTATACTCAGATGTACTATCACCTGAAGTATAGATATTTACCCTATAAAGCCGTTCCTTCAGATCTGGCCTGGATACCAACTATATTTTGATTTCCTTTAGCAGACATGCACTAAAAGAAATGCACACAATAGTTCTTCAGGATAGTTAATGATGTCAGATAGAAACATAGATCTTCAAGAAGGAATAAAGATCACAGGAAACAGTAAATATCTGAGCAAAAGCAATTTACTTTTATTGTCTTCTTAACTACTTTAAAATAAATAGAACTTTTTAAAAAGTAACAATTATCAATTATCTCATGGGACAATAGAAATAAATAATAGTAAGATATCTAGGAAAACCCCAAAATAAATGTATATTACAATTATGGGAAAAAAGTGGAATTTATAGTTATTGATTCTACATAGAAGCATAGTCCCGGTGGCACTGTGGGTTCAAATCCACCAGCTACTTCCAGGGAGAAACATGAGACTCTCAACTCTTGTAAACATATATTGGATCGTTATGAGTTGGAATTGACTTGATGGTAGTATGTTTGGTTTTGGCATATGCCTCTAATGTTTCTACATTTTACATGGAATGGTACATTACCTATAGATAGAGTATAAAAAACTTTACTTTTCATATGTTCCCTAGGGAAATCACTAAAATACTGATGCAAAGAGGTATAGCTACAAGGCCAACTAATAAAATGTAATTATTAAAAAAAAAAAAAAAATCAAAAACTCTAAAAAAAGGTAGGAATGGTAAAACAGAAGAACAAAAAACAGAGGGAAAAAGCACAAAATAGTGATAAAATGGTAGAGAGTTCACACAAAAAAATTTAACCGACTTAAAGGAATGAAATAGAAAAGTCTATAATCACAACTAGAGATTTCAATATCTTTCTTTAAGTAACTGGTGAACTAGATAAAAAATCCTTAAGTGATTTCAGAGTCTTATGAACCACCTCAACTTAAGTGGTATCTATAGACACTGGTCCCCACAATTGTAGAGTACACATTCTTCTAGTAAATATGGTATTTTTACCATAAGTCATAATGCAAGCTTTAACAAATTTAAAAGGATTGAAATAATGCAGAGCATGGAGCTCTGGTAGCATAGTGGTTACGAATCGGGCTGTGAACCTTAAGGTCAGTAGTTCGAAACTACCAGCCGCTCCGTGGGAGAAAGATGAGGCTTTCTACTCCCGTAAAGATTTATACCCTCGGAAACCCTGTACAGGGTCGCTATGGGTCAGAACCGACTCGATGGCACTTAACAACAATGCTCTCTAACAATAACTGGATTGAATTACAAATCAATGATAGTAATATGGCTAGAGAAATCATAAAGAGAAAATAAATAGCACACTTACAAATAATCCATTGATCAGGACACAGTGATAAAAATCACAAAGTAAATTGGACCGTGTTTCAAACTGAATGCTAACAAAATTACAATATATTAACATTTGTAGAATGCAGTTAAAACAGTGCTTCAAAGGCAACACATAACATTAAATGTTTATATTAAATGTCAGTACTAGAAAATAAATTGTCTAAACTCAATGGCCTATGGTAGCACTGAACAACTAGACAGCACACAACATCTTAGTACTTACTGTGAGACAGTGGCTAACTGAAAGGTCAGCAGTTCAAAACAAGCAACCAGAAGAAAGCTATGACAGTCTGCCTCCACAAACATTTTTGTTAAGTGTCAAGTTAGTTCCAACACATAGCTACCCTG